TTCGAAACACATACATAATTTTTTTTTAATATTTTTCTGATAGCTGTTATGACTTTGCCTATCACCCGGTTTCGGCTTGACGTCGACTTCTGGGACACCCTGTATAAGTTATTCTCGTTTCTTTCACACATTCTTATGTACACGAGTATAATCCGTTTAAATTTGGCATTGTAATATTCAATTTCTTAGAAAATTAGCTCTTTTTTATGTATAAATTCACTATTTCTCAATGTTCTCTCACTTCTTTTTTTAGAAATCTCACTTTTCTCACTCAAATTCATGGTTTGGGCCGCCAGCACTCCTGTTATCACTCAAAACCGATGGTGTTTATTCTCCCGGAAGGATATTACAAAATATCTTACTTCAAAAGCATGTATTTGTATTTCTCAGTTTCGATGTTAGAAGGAAGACACAGTCTGTTGTTTTATTTGAAGTTGTAAATTGAAAACATGATTGTCCATCATTTTTGGCTATGCAAAGTTCAACAAGGGCCAACCTCACCTTTTACCTGTCTACCCGACAAACGAGTCTACTACTGCACTCATCGCTAAATTTGATATGCTCGTGCTACTCGTATAATAACTATAGGAACTACAGTGCAACCCGCGTATATTGGACCCGGCGGGACTGTGAATAGTCTATTATAGGCGGAAACACGTTTTTTAATGAAAAAAGCATCAGAAATAGCATATTAAAAGCTGAAAATGTGTTTGTTTAGCACATATTACATAAATAAAGATACATACAAAAAAGTTCAACGTAATTTTGAAATTTGCATTTTTTCAGAATCAGATTCACATATTACAGGCATACGTACTCTGTAGGTATGTGTAAAAACCGTAAACTATTTGGGAAAAAAGCTAGTAGGTTTCATTTGTACAGATTGTTTTTTTGTATAATTATTTAGAACAGCAATTCGGTAAGTGTGGCTGTACTGTCTTCTTCTAGCTGAAAATAACGTTGCAACTTTTTCACGCAGTCTGATGCCTTCTTAGTCGTCACTGGAACCTTTTACTTAATCGTTGTTGTCTAGTTCCTCTTCCTGTTCGTTATCAACGGATCCTTCATTAACCAAATTGGAGTCTGACAATTCCTGTGTTGCTATTAAATTATTGTCAACATTTGCGTAGTCATTAAATTTGTCTAATTTCAGTAGACTTTCAATTTTTAGTAAATCACTTAATGGAATTTCATCTTCTTCAAATCGTTGACTATTTCAGTTATGTTTTTCACTAAACCATCATGTCGAAAACAATTACGAATCGTTTCTGGAGTAACCCATTCCCATGCAACAGGAAGCAAATTTATAGCATCTAAAATGGTGACAGCTTTGGTAATGTTGACATCTTCTTGAAGCTCCATAATTTTCATCAACATATGTTTCCGATACATTTGTTTAAAACTCCAAATGACACCCTGGTCCATTGGTTGCAGAACTGATGTCACATTGGGTGGAAAAAATTGAAGGTTAATGCTATTAAGTGTAATATTTGGATGAGCGGGGCAGTTATCGACCAAGAGCAAAATTTTACGATTTTTTACAAGTTCAGCGTCCCTTTTTTTTAATATTCTTCCAAAATTGATAAAGTCACCCAAGCTTTATTATTTTCAACATAATCGACGGGAATTGTTACATCTCTGAAACACCTAGGATTCTTAAATTTCCCTGAAATAAAAGAAAAGGTCATAAATTCTTTGCAGCACTGCCATTGAATATCAAAATAATTAGAACATGAATTTCTATTCATTCACTTACCTATTATCAATAGTTTCCGTTTTTCAGTACCAGATGCATTATCACAAATCGTAACAGTTATTCGTTCTTTTGATAGTTTCCCTCCGTTTCAAGTCTCACCTTTTAATTTATGAGTTTTTCTGGTAGCATTCTATGAAATATCCCGGTTTCATCTGCATTGAATATGTTATCATCTGAATAATCACTGGATATTACGCACCAAACTTGAGAAATCCAGTCACTGGTAACGTTCTTGTCAACTAAGCTGACTAACCGGAACTACATTCGCAGTAATCTCCAATCAATTTCCCAAATTCTTCAGCCTTTATTTGTAGCATAGAACCACTTATTGGAGAATTATTAGCGAGTTATAATATCCGAGGATTTTACATGTAATTATACTAAGTGATATATAAATCCGAACACTCAGTTTAAATGGTTTTATTTTAATAAAAGTTGGTGAATGTATTTATCTTACTGTAAATAACAAGTGAAAATTTTCAGCCTTATCAGTTCGACATTCCGGTTTTTATACTGCTTTTTTTAATTCACTAACGCTCTAAAAATGAATATTTCAGTCGCAGTAAAGAACCAACGTTGGCGGATTTTGGTTCTTGACATCCTTTACGATCGGTTACGATGCCTAGAGTACGGAGACCTGTACGATTTCGTCAACTTAGTGAGTTTGATAGGGGCCGTATAGTGGGACTTCGGGAAGCTGGACTTTCTTTTCGGGCAATTGCAGTTAGAGTGCAAAGAAGTGTAGACACTGTGGTTAGGTGTTGTCAGGCATGGCTTCGAGAAGGCCGTACGCAAAGAGCAAGGGGCACTGGACGCCGCCGTAGAACAACAGACCGTGAAGATCGCCGCCTAAGATTATTGGCATTAAGGGACCGTTTCTCCACTACCAGGTCCATTGCAAATGAATGGTTTGCATAACACGGAAGACCTATTGGCATGCGAAGTGTTTACCGACGAATGAGAAGTTTTGGCTTGTTTTCATACCGGCCACACTGGGTCCTCCCTTTAACTCGAGAACACCGACGTAATCGCCTTGAGTGGTGCAGACAATGGTCACTTTGGGATCAGGAATGGAACAGTATTGTCTTTAGTGACGAGTCTCGATTTTGTTTAGGCATGCACGATGGTCGTGCCAGGGTTAGAAGGCTACGTGGTGAAAGGAGGAATCCACAGTTTGTTGTTGAAAGACATGTTCATCACACTGTTGGAGTTATGGTTTGGGGTGCTATAGCTTATGGTTCCAGGCCACCTTTAATCTTCATCAGAGGTAACATGAACGCGCAGCGTTATATCCACGAAGTCCTAGAACCCCATCATTTACCCTATCTTGACACCCTGGCAGATCCAACTTTCTAACAAGATAATGCCCGACCACATGTTGCAAGAGTCACAATAGACTTCTTTCAACATAATGATGTCACATTGTTACCATGGCCACCAAGATCTCCCGACTTATCCCCAATTGAGCACGGGTGGGATATGATGGGTAGGAGATTGCTCAATTTGCAACGTCCTCCTCAGACTCAAGAAGCACTTCGAGAGGAGTTGGTGGTTGCCTGGAATGAGATACCACAGGAGGACATTGACCACCTGATCAGAAGCATGCCTAGGCGCGTTGGAGAATGCGTAGCACATCAGGGTGCATCCACACATTATTAAAGGTCAAAGGGCTTTAAAGCAGAGCAATCATTTTGAAATTTTTATCATTTACTTATTATGCTTCATTAAGTACTTATACAAAATTTTATTAAAATAAAACCATTTAAACTGGGTGTTCGGATTTATATGTCACTTAGTATATTTATAGGACCTTAAATTGTGTCCATTATATTCGGGTTTCCATTATAAGCAAGTTCATTATAAGTGGATTCCACTGATATCTTCACGTCATCCATTTGTACTACTAATAGAGCATGAAAAGCGACAGTCTCTTTAGACCTAACACAGTTTTAATAAGTAGAGCAGTGCTAGATTGTCTGTGAGTTATTACCGTAAATTACTAAGAGAAGTGTGTGATATTTGGATTGAAATATTCAGAGGAGATGTTTTGCTATCACCTTCCGCTCACTTAGACACAGTTGTCGTTTTACTTTGAACGCGGAAGTATTGAAATCTCAAAAAATTTCGAAAATGGGGTATTGCGTGTTTTGATGTTATATGAGATGTGCATCATGCAAAGCCATGTCAATCATCTTCGTCGGTCTGTGTGGCTCTCTGACTGTGTGTCTGTTGGTTTGTTTGTCCGCTAATCCTTGGCCCCGTTATAACTTGGGGAGTTGGGGTGGAGTTTTGATGGAATTTTCACAGAACGTTACAGCTATGCCAACGTAAAAGCTTTGTAGTCGTTGAAAATCGTTTCAGTAGCAGCGGAGCTATTGATAAAAAAAACAACAAAAATCATTTGAATTTTGTTTTTTGACGTTTCAGTGTTTGAAAAATTGTGTTTGCGGGCGGCAAAGGGTTGTAAGTGTTACATCTTTAGTATCAGTGAAAGATGCTTCAGTACGCATAAATATGTGATCTCGGTAGCATTCAGGACCTGCTAGCACATATTTCGCATAATATTTCTAGACACACCAGCTACCTAGAAACACGCGACATCCTTTACCTGCAGAGGGTCCAGTTCAGCAACGCCGGCGGTGACCAGTAATCGCGATGTAATGATACCACTTCGTACGAAAGTTATCCAGATATGATGCACCATATTTATCCGAGCCGGTTGTTAAAAAGATTAAAATTAGGATTCAATATATTCATTCTACTCCATAGCGGCCAATAGTCAAAATAGCAGAACTTATGAAAGTTGTCTCAGCATGGTACATATTCAAAAACTTCATAATTCCAATATTTCCTAAATCAGCAGTACTGATTTTCAATGATACTCATTTCAGGCTACGGTCTTATGTCAACGTACATGGATTTTCAGTAATAAAGATACCTGAGTGTACAAAAGTTGACCTGCTACATATCCAAACTTCATTTGTTCAGAACTGGGTGGAAGTATTGAATCGTTCTATTTGACGCCATTTTTCAAATATCCTCGTGAAAGGTTGGAACATAGCGTTCTAGGTGAAGATAATTATTTTGAACGTTTTCTGGAGATGCACAAACTTCTCTGGTGATGTTTGCTTATGAAAAATGTTATTTTTCGGGCTTCTGCTTAGCCTAGATTGTCTTGAAATAGTTCAAATAATTACCTTTTTAATACTTACTCAATGTTTAGGAAACACTGTGTGTACTTTACCTTTTTCAGCAATAACCAGCTGATTCACTGCGCGAAAACAACAAATTGATCAACCATTGTGTTTAGAGACAAGCTATCCGGGGATGTTTTTTTCTAATCCTTGTTAGCTTAAATGATGGCAGATGGCCACGATAATAGATAATTGTTATCATATTCCATATCGCAAATGCGCAAGTTGCCTTGTTAGTGGACGCAGTGGCGTCGTATGAAGCATTTTAAAGGGTCAAATATATTCCAAAGGGAAGGGGCAAACATTCATAGACTCTATACCCGAGCCAGTGTGTGTGTGTGTCAAATGCAAATTTATATAAATTTTAGTGAGAGGTCCCGAAATTAGTCAATTCTGAAGCCTAAAATCGCATTGTATGTGAATTATTTTTCAAAATACCCACGCAGTGAGGGTTATAACTCCAGCATTTTTAAATTGGACTTGAGGAGATTTGATACTTTTAAAGCTTCTTTCATTGCCCTTGCAGTAATTTCAAAGTTCAGAGTTTGTGTAAAATTAATTTCCTTTATCTAAAATTTTATTATTTCCATAGTCAACGTTATGACATTGGTATCGAATAAATAAAGTGAGAAGTTTTATGGAGTTATATTAATTAAATATATAAAAATTATATAGAAACTACCAAACTATTTTTTTGACACTATAAATACTTAAAAGTAAAAAATAAATAAAATGATGTAGCACGTTTTCAAAACAAGCTTTTATATAGTCGTTAATAAAACGATCTATAAATTAAAAAAAAAATCGTATTGAAAACATTGATAGCAGGATGAAAAAAGGCTTTTAGTTGAAAACATGTGATGATGAAGCTTCATTATCGTTCAGATATTTCCAATCGTAAAAAATATTTTTTAATTTATAATAATATTGATAACAAAGCATTTATTGTTCAACAATACACATACCATTATAGAGCAATATATCCAGGGTGTCCGCAAAGTTGGGGTTTTCCTTTTCAGAAACAACTACCCTTGAAATAACAAAGGTAATGTGTAGTGAAACGAGGGCGACCAAATAAAAAAATAAAGGAAAAAGTACTCTCCAGTTGACGAGAAGGGCTAAGTACGTCTCTGCCCGAAATCATACCGCTCCAACAGAAAATGAAATCAGCTGATGCGCACAAGGAAGGTAAAATGTTGCGTAAAAAGTCTAGGTATTGCATTCCGTCCAATCGATTTGGGAGAATAAATGGTCCAATGAGCATACCGTTCACCATGCCAGCATAAACATTCACCGAAAATGTTTGTTGAAAATGTGCCCGACGGACAGCGTGCGGATTTTCTACTGACCAAACATGAGTGTTGCGAAAGTTATTCACCCCATTACGCGTGAACGTAGATTCGTCTGTCACCAATATGCACTTCAAAAAGTCCGGATTATTGTCATGTTGATGCAACAACCACTCACAAAACCGCACTCTTGCTGGAAAATCGTCAGGTTGAAGAGCTTGTACACGTTGGACGTGAAACGGATACAGCCCCTCTTCACGCAGCGTTTGCCACACTTTAGTTTTTGATACTTGCACTTCTCTAGCCACGTCACTAGTGGTTGTTGAGGGATTCTCGTCTACGCGATTACCTCTACACGCGTGACCGTAACCGTCGGTTGAAGGTTGCATACTGACCTGACACACTGACCCCGACCCTGTTCTGTCGTCGGGTTGAGTCAGTGACCTTGTACCAGTCGGTGATGTCGCGGCTACAGGACGGTATTCAGACATTTTTGATGATTAAAACATTGGTGTATATGGTACTAAGAAAAATTGCTTATGTTTTCAAGATCTACACGTCGTGTAAAGGAAACCCCAACTTTGCGGACACCCTGTATATTGTTTTAACTTACTCTTAATCTGTGTGCCATAAACTGAAAACAAAAAAAAAGAAAAAGGCACTTTAATTAGATAGAAAAGAAACTATGAATAAGATTAATGGATAACAGCAAATATATACGTATATATATACGTATATCATGTAATGTTCACTCATAAATATATGTTTCTAAATTCCTAAAATCTACAGCAGAAAATTTCACCACATCTCGCAATCGTGTTTGGTGATCAAGACAGAAGATTTATCTGTGTCCTTTTGCAGAAAAAGGAAACTTTATATCTGGATGTCAATCTAAGTACCAAGAAATTAATTTGCAAGGGACACCAAATCTACTCAGTAACAATGAGTAGTCATATCCTGTTGAAGGATAGACACCATCCTTCCTATAGGATAGATATTTGTCAGTTACAGCTAAATAAAGGCTTGTTTTAAAACTACGTTTTCTTATTTCATTTATTGAATTACTGTCTATATTACTATAAGCTTGTTACTCATTTTCGGATAAGGTTCTAGTTATTCCATTCCATGATACCTATGTTAATTATCCCTGTCGCGACAATAATCTCGAATTCGTCTGTATTCAGAGACGAATCCTCAAGACAACCTTTCTGCCCAGGTATACGAACGTGGGAGTTGACAATCCCGTTAATATGGTTAACAAGCTGATGTAACTTTGAAGCTCGCTAAGCTTACCCGACGATTTATCAAAAAATTGAATAATAATCGACTGGTGGTGTTGACTACGCTGCTTCTGTTGCTTGAATATTGATCAGCCTATCTTTGTGTAGACAGGCAGTGTGTACGGTGACAAAAAGGCTGCTAGAAGCTGGTGTGTACTCTCGACATATCCTTTTTTCCTTTCCTGAAGCCATCCGAATAAAGTGCCCGATAACACTGAAGCCTATGGGGCTTATTGTACGTTACTCAACGAATTTACAGTACGCAATCCACCAGTCTAATGCTCTGTACCAGTTGGTACTCTGCCTACCGGTACTGTTCTAGGCTACCTTGGTTCTGATTTTGGTTTCCGAAGGGTTGATGTCTTTGGTGCCTCGAACTCATGAAATACGTGTAAGGCTGATTCTGTTCCTTATCCGTATTGTCAGCAGTGGAGGACTTCAGCATACAGCCTGCCCAGGCATTCCATCAAACCTCCATGTCCTGAAATAAGAGCTGTAAGTACACTGAGTCGGTTTCTATTTCTACTCATTGAGAGCAGTTTCGCAGCCGTATTTGGTCATTGTCCCAGGATGAATTCTTTCTAATTGCTGATATTCCTTGTGCTATTTTCTAATCGAATCTTTGACTTGATTCCTTATTATGCTTTTTAGTACCTCGAAGGCGAGTTCTGAACCTATAAAGGGTGTGGATAATCCTTTTTTGCGAGCTTATCCGCGCGTCCATTGCCTGCGTTACCTGAATGTCCTTTTATTATTGCAGGCTCGCCCGTAATTTACTCTTGCGCAATACGAGGGATGTCTTTTAAGTTTTGCATATGGAAATAAAACAACACGGTAGGTAGTTTCAAATGACATTATTGTTTTTCGAAGTATTCTCCACGAAGATTAATACACATCTGCATGCATTCGAACCAATTTTCGAAGCACTTATTCCACTCGTTTGCTGGCAGATCCCAAACGGCATTTTTGAATGCGTCAAGTGCTTCTTCTGGTGACTGGAACCTTTGACCATGAAGTCTGTTTTTAATTTTCGGGAAAGTAAAGAAATCGTTAGGACTTAGATCGGGACTATATGGAGGATGGTACAATAATTCGATGTTTTTTTCGGTTAAATACTGCCTTGTTTTTTGGGCTGAGTGCAAGCTTGCATTGTCTTGGTGGAGGATAATTCTTCTTTCGGGGTTGATTTTTCGAAGCTCGGTGATGACTTTTGGCAAACAAATGGTGGTACACCAATCCGCAGTAACAGTTCTTTGCTCATTAAGAGGAATTGTTGCAATATGACCCGCTTTTGACACAAACACTTCGAGAACGGATGACTTTTGTTGGCTTTTCTTCACCTTGGAACACCCAAACAGCCGTCGTTTATTTTCTGGTTCATAACAGTAAATCCACGATTCATCACCACTAACAATGCTGTACACATTCTTTGAGTTTCCGGAATTGAAACGGTCAAGCGTTTTTTGACACCAATTAACTCTGGCTGCTTTCTGCTCAACAGATGGGGTATCCAACGAGAAACTAATTTCTTACTCCTAATTCTTCATGTAAAATTTTTTGAATTGAGGTCGTTGAGATCTTCAAGGACGCCTCAATCTCGCGATATATCACATGTCTATCTTCAATGATGAGTTTGCGCACAGCATCGACGTTTTCCTGGGTGACTGCCGTTTTTGGTGCACCCAGCCTGGGATCGTCGCTAAGACTCACCCGTCCACGTTTGGATTCTCCATACCAACTTCAAATTGTCGACTGATGTGGCGCTTCGTTGCCGAAAACAGACAGTTCAGCAAGGCATTCTTGTTGCGATAATTGTCTCTGAAAGTTGTAATAAATTATGGCGCAGAAAATGTTATCGGTTGAGTTCCATTTTCCTAATGACTTGGTGACACTTAAAAATTCACTGTGGTGAGAACACTGCTCGTATTGTTGTGAAACTTTGAATTTAAGTTTACTAAAGAGTGAGGTTAAGATTCAGTACTGATGTTCGATCCGCGCGGCCTACTATGCTTCTATATGCAAACTTAACGGACGTCCCTCGTATAAGGTGGCAAATGTAGAGGTGTGTGTTCCAAGTGGTATACTTTGCCCACGATTATACCTATTCCTATATACGTATACAAGTATATCTGTTCCCTGCTCGGTTGTTGACCCGTTTGTGTACAGGTTCCGTTCTAACGGATGTTTTTTTTTCGAGGTATAGAACTTTAAGTTGATTACTTTTGAAGATGGCAACCGATTTGACAGCTGTCAAGTGATTTATTCTCAGGTTGGTTTGGCAATTCATCATGAATAGACTCACGCCTGAACAACGCTTGCAAATTGTGCGGTTTTATTTCGAAAATGTTCATCATCAAAGCAGTTAATTCGATTAACCATTGAACGTTTTCGCACCACGTTTACTCTAATTGATGACTCGCATCCCCAGAGACGCCGTACGGTGCGTACAGAATAAGCTATTGCTGCTGTAGAGCGTAGCATTGAGGAAGACCCGAATGAATCCATCCGCCATCGAGCACAGGA